GTAACAATAGTCTAGAGTGTATATAAGGATTGGACAGGTAAGGGGGTACCCCTCCGTCCCATGTCTTGCCTGGTACAATGGGGGTGGAAAGCTGTACAATTTTGCCGCTTCCTCACCCCCAAAACAAAGGAAATATTTTCAAAACAAAGGAAATATTGTTTACAAAGGAGCTAGTTTCATTCTACGCCATACAAATCACTTTATATAATATAATCACGTCACGAACAGCAAGGAAACAGTCAGTAGCGGGTTCCAATGCAAACGGATAAGGCATACTTAACAGGGTAAGCCTTGGCCAACATTATGGGGTGACTAACTTTACAACCTGCATTATGAGTGCCAACAGATGCATTTTTTTCAGAAAAGCCGCGCATAATGCCTCCACGTTCTGTCGCTCGGTAAGAAAACACGCAGCTCAACTGTACCGTTCGTTGAGTCGGCAATACTGCGTGATGCAGCCGGCCGTCCTTCGCCGTACACAAAATGCACACCTTACATGCATGCAGCTATTTGGAGTATCAGCGTTACCATGGATACCCATTCAAATCCCCCAAAATAGACGAGGCATATGCGACATAATTCTCCGGTGCATGATCGTGATAGTAAGGCATTTTTGATGACCGTGGACTTGAGCACATCATGACTGCTGAGGCTCGCTGGGAATTGGTCGTCTGCGAAAATAACTGTAGTGGACGTTGCGATAATCAGAATGCAATTCGTGCGACCCTCCGGGGGGGGGTGTTACTTGTCGGTGGTAGGGTTGAGTTGGTATACACACACACACACAAATTACTTGTGGGCTGCAACTTTATAAAGAGTCCTTATCCATCAAAACCATCTAAAATATCTAAAGAGAACAAAATTGAAAGGTACATATTCTAGATGCAAACCAATTTTGCAACACAAGCGACAATGCTGCAAGCGTCAATAAGGGTTGAGCGGTTTGCCTGGACGTTTCCCCTTACTGCCAAATTTCGCAAAAGGTTCACTCAGAACACCACGAACCCGTCTCATAAAAACATCAAGACTGAGAACGATGGAATGACGACGATATACTTCTGCGCCACCGTTTAAAACCTTTATGGGTTTCATGACCTTAGTTTCAGCGACGTATGATCGTCTCAAATCATCTGCAATATTGTATGACCATTCAATTCTTCACCGTTCCTCGTATGCTCCTGTTACTGCATGTGATGTGTTATTGCCTCTTCCAGATGGCCTAGAATTTAATTAGCCACAGCCCGTCATTGCGGGCACCTATTGTGTAGCTTTGACAGCTTTTCAGCCAGGAATAAAAAGGGTTCCGTATTCTTTGTGCCATCCAGTGCAGTTTTCAGATTCGTCTATTGAAGGATACAGCACTTCGTCGTTATCTTCTGACGTTTAGAAATCCTGGTAACTGTGCCTACTATTCACGACATAATCCTTGAATTCTTGAACACAGGTGTATGGCCACGTTTAAACTTTACCAATGATTTTGCAAATAACGCATCCGTCCTGCTGTTGCAATGATGTTATGGGGGTTCTAAAGCTTGCGTTACCATCCAACCAAACCGTGCCTGGTATTTGGAATGTTAGCACGAACGCGATTTAAATTTTATTCGTTTTCCACGGCCATACGCTTACAAAGTCAGTGTGCAGGTGACGGTTCTTTAAATCCCTACAATCGGGGACATTTCAATTAACAACCCCCTTATTTTCAGGTATAAAATAGGTAAGATTTTACGGTAAATACGACAAATAATTCAGTTTACCGTGGCCCGCACATCGATCAGGGTACTTAGAGTGACACATATTTATTAGTGATTATCATCAACGGTCCCTGTCAGCCTTTGGCCGTCCAACTTGGCTCTAAACAAGCTCTAGCCAACGAGAGTGACAAACGCGGTGTAACGAACGAATTAACTGAATCTGCCCCCACTAGCGCGTAAATGTGGCCACTGTGACATTACTGTGACGGGGTGATTCCACTTCACTGGAGAACCCCGGTGATCAGAAATTTCATCGCATGCGGCCATGACCCATCGGTGTTACTCACAATCGGCTCTGGGCTGGTTTAGTTTATTTACAGGTGAATAAAAATAATCCAAAGATTTTTGCGTCTCACACAGAAGGGGGAAGGAAGCATACAGAGATATTACTATCGAAAAAATGACAAGCAAGAATCCAGCAAAAGTAACTTCGGGTTCATGTAGTTTATTTCCATTGCACTTGAAAGTCGATTTAAGCGCCATATACAATTAAAGACAGTTTATGATACGAGAGGCAATTACCTAAATCAAATGACAGCTATGCAAAACTGATAAAAGCTCAATATTCGTTGACCATATACATGTATATAAGAAAGTATACGTCTGGATAACGATCGGTCATCGCAAACATATCACCGATTGTTTCCGGCTGTTAATGAAGACGCAATGGGAACAATTATTCGGACATTTTCGGAAACGGGAAGAATTATTGATGACAGTGATGATCATCTCAGCAGACATCGGCAGCTACTTGACTACGAAGGGTCAGAATTGCCACTTCAAGGGCAGAAAATCGCATTCGGCACACCATGCACGTACATGAAAGTGCGCAGACTGAACATTGAAGCGTTTAATGCACAAAGGCGATGCATCACACTTGGTCCCAACTATAATTCATCGCTAGTTTGGTACACCTGCCCTACTGACGCAGAAAAAAAAAAGCGCATTCCCCTCGTACGGCGCAATTTGCCAAAGCATCTCTCAGTCGGCCATTGTCGCGGGGACCATAGCAGATGGCCAAGTGACAATACCGCGACCCCCCCCCCCGGGAAAACGGGGAAATTACAACCAAACATCCAATCGCACCTTTCCCTTACAAAACACCTGCTTGTCTTGATCTACGCACCTTTCGCTTGAACATCTTTTGTTTGGTTTTCTAAAGATCCAGTTTTTCAGATACATATACTGCAGATCATAAAAGGTAGTGTAGGCCTATAGCAGTTCCATATACTGCAATTTCCATATATTGCAATTTGTCAAAATTGGCCGATGGGGGGGGTTGTGATTTACTTTGTGTATCATTCCACGAACTTGTTTCATTTTTTGAGAACACAGCTCTGAGAAAAATCAAAAGAAAAAAAAAACTCATCATTTTTAACCCTCGAAGCGCAGCTTGTGTAATTTGTCTCGCAAAAATCCATGGGCCACAGGACGTTCTGGAGGGCCTGTACACAATGGCCCTCGAAATGCATTTTTCCATGCTTCGCGTCAGACTAGTGGTTAGCAAATTTACCTTTCAATTTTGTGATTCCTTTTCAACAATGCAGCGCGGAGAATTTATGTAATAATAAACGTTTCATAGAGCACTGAAGTGACTGTGCGACCCTACATGTATGAGTGTACATGCACACACACATATACATGTATATACCTGTTTTACATACAAAGCGTGGACATTCCTTTGTTCTCCTGTGGTTAAGGAAACTTGAGGAAAATTCTCCGTTTTTCTCCAACTAGGATAACTCCTTCGAGCTGGTTTTTTTATGATAATTTCCTGGACTGTTCCTCTGTATTTTGCAACGGATAACCTTGACCCCAAAATGCCTCTGGAACGTTTTTCAGAGAGGAGAAAACATTGTGTGGACGTGTGCGAGTCCACACAACGCTGTCATACCCTACATTATGTGGACTTCTTTTATGCACAGGTCCACACTGTGTATGCCACGCCTGCACACATCGTATGTAGCTCTTTACACGAGCGTCGGTCAAAAACCGTCTACACACCGTCAGTGCTCATCATAAACACTTTATAAATCAACAAATACGGTAACTATCCTTCTATTTTGGGCATGAGAGCAATACTGTTGTTGGAAAAACTGAGAGCTAAATGGCTCGAAATTGGAAAATCTGTTCGAGAAACCACTGACTCCGGTACGGAGCTTCGAAGGAACGGCTCTTGGATCTTGGACTAATCGACAGTTCCGTTTGAGAGATCTTGGAAATCCTAAACACTGCCTTTAAGGAAACCCGCCCTCTAATTTGGAAGTAGACTTTTGTGCAATCGTCCGTTTTTTCTCAGTTTTTGAACTACGCCAAGTTTGGAGGACTCTCTACGGTCTGCACATCTTTTGAAATCAAAAATATTCTGACACTGACCAAAATGGGACCACGTATACTGTTTCCACAACGCCCTTGAGGCTGCAAAGAAAGTGTCAACAGGCGACACTACATCAATATAAGACACCTGTACGTCCTTACACCTACAGGGTACATTACGAACACTACCTACACAACACTGACATGAATGTATACACAAACCATAATAATATGTACGTATGGTACACTGTAAGCACTTCATACACACAAGCGTGACTCTTTGAATATTCATCACACATACGGGTGGCCATCTCATGATTACTTTGGTTAATAAAATAAACATGTGGGTTGGCACATGATAACATTTTACATTACCTCCAAAGTCCATAAAATGTTTTCTGCAAGAAAAATATATCTTGACTGATTGCCACGTCCGCTTAGATGTGCATGTATGTACACTATTTTTTGTTTGTCTTTATTAAAAATCAGAAAGTCTTGATATTTTTCTCTTTTTATGTGACCAACATAAACACAGCATCACGCAGATTCCATGCAACAGCGGATCAACCATGTTAGGTGCATACCCAAAACAGCATAATACAACTGAACAAGCCATGCATAAACAAACAAAACAAAACAAACAAACCAAAAACTGCGGACGGTAACGAAACTTTCTGGTAAAAGTTCGAGAAAAAAAACTGCACTGAAGGGCACTAATGGAAGGACGGATGATACTATGTACTAAAATCTCCACTGTATGCTCTGAATCATGTAAATTGGAGCTGCGGATGTGATGTTTGTGAGTGTATTCCTGCATGAATATCCTCAACTCCAGTCAAAATACATTCATCAAGCAAGATATAAATTATTTTCAAGTGATTTTTTTTCAGAATAATTACATATTGGAATGCAGTACCATACAGAAAGATTAGAACTGCGACTCTGCTGTGAGTGGAGTGGGCAGGGTCTAATCCTGGGTACAGGCAGAGGGGGATGTGGAGATGTACATGTACCTTTACGAGCCAAAGATATCTCAGCGGGGAACACAACAAAGGGCATGTTCATTCTTCTTCTTAGAGAGAGCACTATTTGCAGGGCTGAGTCACGTGCATTTTGTGTTAACCGTAAGAAATGAATAAAAAGAAAATGTCAAAATAAATTAAACATGCCTGCAAATTCATCATTTCTTGTTTTTCGTTTAGAACTCAGTCAATAAAACTGCCTATTTTGGGGGTCAACTTTTGATACGAGTTGTAATCTGCCATTATAAATAAGCCAAGAGGAATGCTTGACCACATTTAACACATAATAGTAACAAAGTGAACTAATGTGCACTGTTTTTGCACTTATTCATGAAATTTGTGCTAAAAATTTTTTTTTCTGTATTCTAAACAAATAAAAGGCCTCTTCTTTTTTCAATATTGAAAACGGAAAGAGGCCTTCAACTTGTTCAAAATACGTGAAAACCATTTAAGCACAAATTGCAAGAATATTGGCAAAAGACGCTTAGCAGTACAAACCCAATTACACTGATAGCAAGTGCAGTATCATTGGTGCTTCCAGAGATTTTTCTTTCCAAGAAGCAAAGACAACTTAACTTTAAACAAATATGCACCAGCCACTCGGTGACATCTCGTAAAGTGCATCTGTGGTTACAGAGCACGCAAACACAATGAGGAACCTCTTCATGGTGGAAATCACAAAAACACGGCCGGAATCGGGAATGAGCCGTTTGTAATCAACACCACCTGCTGTGGCTGACCTAATAAAATGCCGTCCAATGAGACCGTCATCCAGTTAGGACATACCTAGTAGGCCCATATTGAAACTGCACATACATGCACAGGCCATCCTGAGCTGTATTCCAGTGAAATAAAAAAAAGGGAGGTCATTTGTGCCAACTGGGCTAATCTAAAGGTCGTAATAAGCTGCCCAAAATATCTGCGATATCTGGGGGCAGAGGTTGGTTGGAATTCTTGAATATTCCCACATTTCAATGGCAAGGACCTCCACTGTACCGGTAGGCCCATATTAAAACTGCATTTACAGGCAATCCTGAGCCATAACTGGGCAAATTAAAAATGTCCACTCTGTTAAGGCCAGTTGGGCCAACCTAAAAGCTGTAACAGGCTGCCGTGTGTCAGCCATATCTGGCAGCACCCATACCCCCGGCAAGGCCTCGTCAGTCCAGTTCCAGGTCGCTGTCATCACTGTCCTCCTGGTGGGGACCTCGGACAAGGAGCTGCTCCTCCTTGCTCGGAAGGTGGCTGTGCCTGGGCGGGTGGGTATGAACACAAAACAAACTGGTATGAACACAAAACACGCAGAGCCTTGGGCCTGAGTTTAAGTCTATGGGTTTTTGGACAGGGATTCTGCGTTCTTCCTCTCTTTTTGGGTTTTTTTCAAGCATGCTTTTCCAACCTACATGTCCCATTCCATTCCTCCATCCACTGATCCCGGTTCATTAATGATGGGTTCCACTTCCAGATCTCAACTTGTACGGAGCCACAAAGACTACTTCAAAGCACACTCTTTTTAAAATTACTTGCCAGTTTGGGGAGAGGTTATAAAGTTACCTGTATTTGTCTACTACCCCTTTAACTTTTGTAGATACATGTATATTAAACTGTTTCACACATTTCTATGTGGCCGTAAAGGTATCGTTAGTGTATGAAATTAAACATGTCATGTTTTCTTGTAGACTATGTAAACATGCACAAGTAAATAAAAGTTCGGTTTACCTTATACATATAGCAAACCAATCATACAGCAGAAAAACAACTGTGTACTTCCCTTTGCACTTTTTAGGAGTCCGCATGGCATCATATGTAATGTATACTGACATATTTTATGACGTGAACATGTACAATAATGCCCTGCGACATTTTGCCCGGCAGTGTGAGTGCATGTGATACCATTTGGCAAAGTTAGGCTTACACGTAGCTCATTTGCCTTATGCTGACCAACAAACTGCATCAAAATGACTTGTAAATGTACATGTATGATACATGTATATTACATGTACAGTTTACTACCAACACTGTAGGTGTTGTATTTCCAGTGATAACCATGAAACTGGTGTGCTTTTGTATGTGGACAGTTGTTACCCAAGTGCACGATTCTGAAAGTACTTCATTGTCACAATCACTTTACAGTCGAACCTCATTAAAACATGTCCTTCAAACTTGGGCAGATTATTTTGCTTTAACAGGAACTCCCTCTATTACATGAACCAGGAGCGAAAGCAGTGAAGAACAAAGGATTAGGACCTGAAAATTCCCTTGTTATAAGCAGAATGTTATATCAAGAGTGCTCGCACTGGTATTAACGAGGTCAGACTGTATTCTTGGAATTGAGTACATGTATACATACTCAACTAAGGCAGCCAAGCAGTTGCCATAGCTTGTTGACACTTGCACATCATCTATTTATGAAAATCAAATTTACTTGTATGCACTGGAACGCAAGCCAAAACATCAAGCTACAACTTCAACATGGCAAAGACTTGCCACAGTCTATAAATGAAAACCCCGATCTACACTTACATATGTACTGAAGGCTAAAAGAAACCCACAAGGTACATGTACAACTTAAAACTTGTCACATCCTCTATTACTGAAAACCAAATTTGCATTTGCACTCAAGGCAACTGCCACGTCGCAGTCGCAAGTCGGACACAGCCTGAAAGCACACACACACAAAAGTTTTCTTGACCTGACATTATCTGATCCAGCACACTGGCTGCTGTGTGATCAGTTCCATCGAAGCATGAAATTGAGGTTCGAGGCGCATCAGACGAATGCCGAGGGAGTCTGCACAGTGGGCTTGCACTTGTGCCATCGTAGATAACAGCGACCGGTGGAGACAACATCCGGAGGGAAACTGAGAGCTAGCTGATGAGGAGGGTTTGAGGGAGGGACGGGACATTCCCTAACAAGGTCCCTGGCATTAGGAAGGGTCAGCTGTGACCCAGACCACGCTGTTGGTGCACAGTGCATACACATTAACGTGGATGTACATGTTTGGAGGTTATCGCTGAAAAGAGGATCAAGTGTTAAGGAGGAATGACACACTCTTTTTTCATTACATATGTAAAACAATGAGAGGCAGATTCACATGACTCCCTTGATGGGAGGAAGGCACCTAATGCAACATACATGCATGGGTAGGCATTCACCGCATCAAGGGGGCAAGTTCTTTTGTTAGGGAAATTTGGACCGAGTTGTGGGGACCTTTTCGTTATCCCATAACGTTTTCGGTCCCCACAAAATGGGTGAAATGTTGAGTGCATGTCCCCACATTGATGGTGTGGGAGGATGGAGTACGCACATACATACACGTGTACGTGTGTCTAGCTATCTGTATATGTATGTGACCAATATTACAAAATGAGTCTGAACAACCTTTTATCCCGCACTTTTGTCCTAACCCCCTAGGAAGTATATAAATTCATATTGAAATTGGAGGATAGGGACTGTTGGGGTTAGAGCAAAGTCAGCTCCAGATGTTTGGATGGGCATGTATCGCTAGGTTTAGAATGCTGATGAAAAGGGGAGTCTAATTGTGGGTGAAGTGTGGAGGGTTCCCAATAACTTACACTGTGCAAGATTCTCTTCATTTGGCCTGCCGGTATTTCATCTCGAAAAAGTGGCTCAGGTACCGGCACCTTGGGGCTTATTTTCATTGGGTCGGATCTCATAAATGTACATGATTTCAGTGCAAAAACTTGACACCGGTTTTTATTGCCAACGTTATCATCCCCAACAACTGGATGCACGTGTTACTGTACAATGCACAGCACGGCCAGGTCCCGAGGAATGACCAGTGCTGAATTTTAATAAAGGGGAAGAGGTTCTTGGGCACTTCCGGGACTAAATATTGACGCTTTGCAGTGAGGGGGTGAACTCGGCCAGACTGTTAGTGCAGGTGTCAGGATACAGACACTGGCGCAATTCTATTAAAAGGAAAAACTAAAGGGGGAATTCATGAAGTGTTGAAGACAGTGAGAGGCCATAATGCCTTCAGAGGATGGAATGTTATTTGTATAGGAGGGGGAGTTCTATATTAAATTGACTGACTCAACACTGTCGATACCACGCGGTTAATGATAAAAGGCCACTTGGCATATATTTGTGCACTTGAAACTGCCCAGATGAAAACACACTCTTCACAGAAGAAAATATTTCCATGCCCATCTCAAAATGTTTATTTCACTGGATAAACATACAGAAACTGTGCCATTTAGTGAAGCATAAAGAAGGGTGACGCAACCTGTGCTTAATTGCTGTCGGATCTGGTAATGACAGATTGCACAAACCATGCATTGAGGTACATGTACGGCTCACAGTATGTATGATGAAGCAAGTCTCATGAATGGCCCGCCAGAATGGCCCGCCAGCAAATACGTGTACATGGACTACGATGCTGCAATTAACGGTTGTGGTATAAATACGGTACATACATGCAGACATGTAGGAGGAAAGATAAAGGGCGGGGATGCCATTTTTGCATCAAGAGGGGTGTGTTGTGCATGTGCATAAGCTATATTACCACTGACAAGGTCAAAAACACAACCAGAACATAAATCCCTCTTGGTCTTTGGTAGTCCATTCTGTCTTCAGTGGTACAGTTGGAGTGAAAAATGAAGTAACAAGTACAGTACATTGTGCATGATGATGAGTGCTCAGTCCTCTTGCTCTAAGTGAGTGGCTGTGCATGAGACACAGGGTTGGAGTTGGAAGCTAAGATGAGTCAAGGTGAGTGGGAGGTAACCCTTTCCTTACTCTATGGTTGTACTGGGGTATACATGCACCTCTGTCGATTCTCTTACAACAATTATATTTCAAGCGCACTAATGTCATGTGCATGTAAAAAAGTACATGTACGAGTAAACTGTACAAAAGGGTGCACAAACATGTACATATATGTACTGGTAGACAGGCATGCACTTGCAGCTGTATTTGGTGCACTTACAGTGTAACTGCTTTTTGCTACAGCCAGCCCCAAATACCCGCTGCCTAGCGGCTACCTCCGCTTCCCATAGAAGTGTGTGCTACTGCCACCACAGCCAAGACCTTTTGGACGCGGCCACTACATACAGATCCTCACAAGCAGCTTGCTGGATTGTTCTTCAGCCAGAATCATAGGTACAAGGTGCACATACGTGTATATGTGCACCTTGTGTTACAAGCACACATCCAGGTATGTCACCGAGCAACACAGCAAAGTACAGTACACGCATTCCTTGGCATGAAGAACTTGACAAACTCAAAGCACATTTCCTTATAAATTCCTACTACATGTACATGTAGTCAAATGACAATGGGACTGATGAGTTAATTACCCAATTTTTTCTCACATTATGCAGCTTTTTACAAGTCTGTTATATTCCGTGATTGAGGACACCCCAAAGGTGTATACGGTGTATGCCTATGCTTGGGCTTGCTAGTGCACCTTTCAAGGAAGGCTTCATACATATACACTGTGTATGTACAAGCCATACGTGGTACAGTACCCATGTGACAGATGTTACAAAAACTGACTCAGTTCATTAGCAAGACATCTGCATTTATGTGGCAACTGCACATAAATGAAGCAAATGTCAGGCACGATTGATGACTTGAAATAATAGACCATTACCCAGGATCACGTACGATACACAGTGCACTGACGTATACCAAATAACCCTGCGCCTAAGTTCCAATTAACTGCACCGCCTCTGATAACTCACATCCGTTCACTGTATCGTCCATCTCAGGTGGCATGCATTACATGTACGTACATAGGAGTTAGCATTTCCCCACCCCCAGCCCTTCATCATCACACAAACCATGGTTCATAGCCCTTTCTAGGTACAATGTGACAAATGTGAAAACAGCCGCTCTTCTTTTGCCAACTTGAGTGTAGCGGTATGAATGGCTGCATGCTGGGCCAAATTAAACTATTCAATATGCACGCAAAAGCCAAGATGCAAGACTGTATCTTTTAACATAGAATGGACAAAATATGCCATTTTGCCAAACAACCACGATTAGATGATTGAAATTCATGTACAAGCGGCCACCAGTTAAAAAAAAATAAAAGTGCTCAATGTTGTTTGAAAGGAGAAAGGTCTATTCATGCCACAGAGCTGTCACGTGTACATGTACGTGCACGTAATAGCTAGACCACTGACTCATGTAAAGAGTGATGCCTGCTGGGCATATCCATGTTTGTGCACAAACCTACAGAAACCTCCAAATTTTGTATGGCTTTCACAAACTGATGGAAACCT